GTAAAATCTTAAAGCGTAACAGCGCGACTGAGACTCATTTTTCAATGAATAACTAATAACAATAATAAAACAAATAAATTCGTGGTATAAATCAAAAATCGTCAAATAAATTCGTAATATATAAATTCGAGAAAAAAAGCGCTTTCGACAAAATACTAAAATAGAGATCTATCGACAAAGACTACTCACTTCTGCTTACCTTAATAGTATGAGATAGCCGCAGCTGATACGGTGATTTTCGGAAGAGATCACATTTGATGAGAATGCTCTCTCTGGTTATTTCAGTTTCTGTTTTTAAAAGCGGTATATGTTGAGCCACATCACCTAGATTTGGCATGTGACATTTTTAGCGGCAATCATGGGTCGATTTTCTAGAGTTGCCATTCGGGGAATTGTAATGAGGCTCTTTTTTGTCGCCGTGTAAGAGAAATATATATATATAGATTGAAAACAAAAAGGCGCGGGGTGTCAGACAACCTTAAAAGTATGAATTTGGTGACGTGGGCCACACGTGCTACCACGTCATGTTCTTTATTGAATTCATCTGACACAGCGAATATAAAATATTTAAATGTGCGCAATAAACTATTTATTTTTTGTTCAAATAGAGCAAAATTTTGTTCAAATATTTTTTGTTTTGTTCATCAAGTGTCATTCACTACAAGTATAAACAGAAATGCATGTTTGAACATGAATGGATGAATAAAAAGTATTTTAATAACGATTGAAAATTTGAACAAGATATAGGATGAGTGTGAACTAACAGTAGGAATTGAAAAAAAAAACGCCTTCACAATATTAAAATTCATAGTATAACTAGTTAAATTCATTGCTCGTGCAGAATTTCACTTTATTTAAATTTCAACTATTTTCGAGAAATATCTACGATACTGTCAAAGTTCGCTATGTATTGAACTTAAGTAATAATTTAAAATATGTCTGGAAGCCATGAAATCACACAAAACATCATATGTATGAGTTTGGGATATATCACTATAGCATTCAGCAGAAATATTAAAATCATTTCCATCTCTGTCTTGAGATAAGATAGATAAATAATCCCAATGCTCCATTGCGTGTTGTACTACTTCCTCACGCACCGCTCGATTCATAACTTGAGTATTATTTAATATAGATGTCAAAGAAAAGGCTTCGTCAACAATAATTGGTATGATAGTATGATTTTTTTCGATAATTTTCTTATAAAACCTTTTTCCCCAATTATCTTAATTTATCCTATGCACGCAAAGAATTCTTTCGCGATGTTGTCCGTTTTTAATACTTGGTGTTATACCCTTTTTTTGTAAAAAAAAGAATGTTGATTGTTGGACAATTTATGTTATTTTTATTTTTTAAATAAGCAAATTATCTGATTATGTAACATAATTTTAACCTTTTGCTGAAATTGGCATTAAAAATTATAGCTATGCAATAACAAATATAATTATTTAACCACATTCTTTTATTCTTAATGTGATAGAGATTTTATTTTATTTTATAACCGTCGTTAAACTGTCGACCCAATTTCGGGTTTACGACTTCCAATGTTCAACTCCGTAGCCTTGTCATTTTAAACCTAATTCATAAGACAAGGGAACTCCTGGATCAAGTATGGGGTGAAATTTGCTTTTTGGGTGAATTTTTTGACGGAAATAACCCGCATTTGCGTTACATGGAGAGGAAGATCGCGAGAACCTCCCACGATTAGCCTGACGGCAAGGGGACTCTAACTCATGATCCGTCTACCCCTGACGATATTTCACGTCAACACTGTGGTCGGTGCAAGCCGGATGCGGAATTCGTATCCCAGCCATCGCTGGGATTTGAACCTGGTTCACCTCATTGGAAATCGAACACTCTATCCCCTGAGCCATCGCGGCTCATGTCATAGAGATAAGAGAAATTTTGAATAGAATTTATTTTACATTAAACGCTTATTTCCTACCCCTTAGTGATTCGTGAGTAAATTTTCGCGCATGCGCCTGCTGTGCAATATTTTTTCTTTTGAATCAAAAAATAATTTACTTATAGAATAGAATTGTTCACCTGCTGCTCTGACGCAGAAAGAAACAACGTCTGCATTGAAAGTTCCTTTAATGAGTTAATATGAAGTTTGGAGTGCAAATTTCCGAGATGAATTCAGTCCGTTGGAACAACCTTGTTCGAAGTACACTTGAATCGAGCGAATTGCCTCTGTGCACTTTTAAATAAATAATCTTTGATTGTGACTCTTAAATCTTTCGTTCCTTTCTGGTACGATGGCTTTCCCTCTCTCTTCAAACGGGCACTTCACTTCACTTCGAAGGAAGGCACGTAGGAACGATAAAAAGTCCATCTTCATCCGATCTTCTGAGAGACGATCGTTTGTAGTTCTAAAAGGGAGAAGAGAAAGGTACTATAGCAACTAAGGTATGCTTAGACGTTCTATTTTTCTTTCACATCAAGACTTGGATTAGAACTTTCTGAGTCGAATTATTTTAGCTCACTTTTGCTTGCTGGAATTATTCCATCTGGTAGGGCTAAGAAAATGTACTTCCCTGTCGGAGATTCCCGCTAGATGACGTTTTTGGGCTATAGTAATATATTTCGTGATACAAAAAGGCAGACGATTTTTGATACTTTTACTCGGGGAACAAAAAGCAGACAATTGTTGAACGTTTTCATTTATTACCATTTTTTTTTGATCCACTGGAAGTTTTTTTGTGGGTTAAAAGGTAGCAATTGAAGAAGAAAAGTTATATGTTATATACTGAAGGTTCTAAATTTTTCAGATCAACGAACATTTTCTTTTCACTACTTAAGAATATATTTCGAAATTAACTTTGCTTCATAGCTTATGTATCCACAGTTTGTAATTCTGAAAAATAAGGTCTTTAGTCACTACGAATTTAAAATCATTGTAATGAAAGAAAATGGACAAATCCCCCCTTTTTTTTAAACATGGCCAATGATCGGCTGGGTAAAGCAGAAAACTCCATTGACAGACATTTTGTTGCTTTAATTCCTCCTTTTAAATATTATCAGTGATAACGTTTCAGTTCATACAAACTTTATGCACCATTAATGTCAATATTGCGTAAAAAAGGAATATTTTGTTACCGAATTATCTAAGATTTATTACTTTCGAATATTAATTAATTTTTTATTGCAATTTGCTGCAACGCTTCGGCCTCATTTCAAATTTTTCCGTCTGTGCTTTCTTATTGACCACTTTTTTCTTCTGTCATTAAGGGCAGAAATTAAATAAATATAAATAAAAGAAATCTCACGTTTCCTTCTTATCTGAAAAATATACAAGGGCAAAAATGAAATGTCTAAACGCGTAAAGTTTATGAGTTAACTTTCAAAAATTGATTGCATGAAAGTAAACATACCAGGCCAAAGTATTAAACGCATTATAATATTCTACGTAAAATCTTAATCTATACAGCTTTATTGTTTTTACGCGGCAGAAATCGGTTTACACTCGCTTGCTTTCGTGTATTAATTGGTTAAATTAGGTGATATGTAATATAAATTCACCGATTGGATAAATTAGAACACATATTATATAAATATAGATTATTTATTAAATCAGGTATTATATTATAATAATTAGACCAAATTATTAGACACACTGTATTTTTTTTTAATAATTACATGTTTTGCTCGAGTTCAAATGCAACACTTTAATATTTAAACATACATGTAATTTGTTTTTATTCCGGAGATTTTTTATATACTTCCTATTTGTATTTATTTTTAACCTATCGTATTACAGTGTTAACCAATTGATACACGAACGTAAACAAGTGCAAACCGGTTTCGTCAAAACAATAATGTTGTATAGTATCACCTGATAATTAAGATTTTACACAGAATCTTTAGTTCATCTAACAATTTGACCTTTATATATAGTTTGCTCTAAACAACTAAATTTATTACATTATTTTTTTGACGAATTTATTATTGCCTTTTTAAATATCATGATAATATTTGTTTTCCAAAGCTGAGGATCCAGAATTTTTTAATCACTCCTTAAGTCACTTTTGCAATGAGTTCAGTATTTTTCAGGAAAGAACTTTGGTAAGAGTTAACCTAGTTTACAGGAATACAATAAAATATACCCCTTTTTTATGTAGCTTTTTCATTTCGATTTAAATTTTTATTAAGCATCAAACATTTTTTTAAAAGGAATCTAATAAAGCTATGTCATGAAAGGCTACAATTGCCAACCGAAATATTATTCTTCTTCTTCGTCAGCGCAACAGCCCCTTACACGCCTTGGCTACCTCAACAGCCGAAATATTGCTTTGATTCATTTCCAAGGGGCCTCTTATAAAAAGAGCTTACATCATTCAAAAAGGAACTTTAATGAGCCTTAACTTTTTTAGAAATGAGCATTGATGATCATAATTGGGTATAATATAAAAAAAACAACTACTTCCACTTAGTAGGAATAACATTTACCATGACGTAATGCTAAATTCTATGCCACTATCCACATAAATGCCACTATCCACATAAATCAATTATTAATCAAAAATCGAATATCAATTACTTTTCTTTATAATGCAATAAAATCTGGCGAGCAGCTATTTAAACGATCAAACACTTCGTTTGTTTATTTGTGGCTTGAAGTTAGGCTCGCAGAAAATGCCGTTCATGGGTTAAATTTAGTAGGAATAACACAAACTGTGACGTAGGCTATAGTATACCCAATTATAAGAAATGAGTGTTATCATCCATTAAAAGAACACATTAAAACAATTTTTAAAGCACAATTTTTTTTTAACAATTAGCTAAATTTCATAAAATTAATTGTTAAATTAATTTTAGAATTAATATTATCATAAATTAACTGTTAAAGTAATTTTATGAATTAATTTTATAATTAATAATTTCATAAAAAAGGACCTTAAATGAGCCTTAACTTTTTTTTACAGGAAAACACACTAAAATAAACACATTTTTGAGCAGAATTTTATATTAAAAATAACAGTTGAAAAGTGCCTATTTTCTTTAAAAACATTATACTAGTGTGGCTCTGAAGGTCTTAACCGAAGTAAAACTCATGTTATTAAGTTTCAATGTCCTCTTCAGACACTAGCATCGTCAGTTTTTCAAAAAAAATGAACGTTATCACCAATTAAAAGAACACTTTAAACAATATTCGTTAAGAGCAATCTTATTTTTCCAATGCGTGAAAAGCCATGGCAGCAAAGTCCATATTATTTGGATCACGTTTCATATGGCCTTTACACACTTCAGCAACATCGCGTAGAAAAGAATCTTTATTAGTATTACCATGCTTTACGGGAGCAGTTTTTAAACCATCAAGCTCATAAAGCCGAGACTTCATATTTACGAACGTTACAAAATGGTGCGGCACATCGACATCCATATCTGGAATAGTCGTTTGTCCTTCGTTAGCCCTCTGTTCATGAGCTTCACGCAATTCAGCGCACTGTTCCAACATTTGCGCCTTCTCCAAGAAATTCGATCCTTTGGATTTGGTGATAAATTCTCGCACCATGGATACCTCTTCGAAATTAATTTCTTCCATATTGTTGGCAACAGCGTGAATCAAAGCCACGGTGCCAGCGGCATTCTTAATGGACTGGGCCATGAAGTACAAGTCTGGATCGATTTCCCTCGTTTGCTTGTCAGCTTTTTCTTCCATTTCAACTTGATATTTTTCGTAGTTTTTAGTCAGTGGCTGGAGGAATAAAACCGCTACGGCCGGGGTCGGAATCTCTCGCAGCATGTCGAATTCTAAAGAAGTAATGTCGGCCATTGTCCACCTGCTGCCAACTCCTAGGTGGCGTAAATATCGGTTAAATACATTCACGTTTGATTCCAGAGGTAGCCATACTTTTGTATCGTCAAACAAAGAAATTCTTGATTGTGGTTTTGGAATTGACATCGAGCGCTTTTATTAAACCTGTTAAGAACAAAATATTTAAATCAGAATTTCAAAATTTTTCTATACGACTTTATAAGAACTTGCAATCTTTCTATTTGAGACTATTTAATTTAATAAGCATAAGTAAATAAGTATAAGTAAACAAAAGTAAATTTAAGACCAAAAACTTGCATTCCCTGCTTAATTTTAACTATGCTAACAACTAGTTTTAATGTCATTATGTTTCGATACTCACTTACCTTTCCAACAATGGGATACCTGCAAGTGACGTAGATTGGATATCTCGATCCTGATTGGTTGTTGAAAAGTGGGATTTGTTTACGTTAGCAACTGTTCTTTCCATTCTATTTAGAGTAAACCAAACCCGTCAAGTACCGATTCTCTTAAAGGCCATATCACACTTAAGGAAATTCGTCCAACTCAACCTTCAACTCAACCTCAACTTTCTGTTCAACTACTACCTGAAACAGTTGAACTATGGTTGCCATGCGGTTGAAAAGAGTTGATCATTGATAAACGAGTGATTTCTTTCTTTTTAGGCGATTTAGCGCTTTATACATAGACGGATAAAAATTTTCATCGAAAGACTCAGCGCGTGTGGTAATTAAATTTAATTTAATCGACGGCAATGGATCCTTCCTCAGCAATTTCAAGTTTGATCATTTACAGTTTGGTAAAGAAAAAAAAAAGATAAGAGAAGGACACTTTGGAGTAAAGCATGACGCTTACGAAGACAGAGATTAGGCTGTTAGGAAAATTTATTGAGAGAACTGTTTGTTTTCATTTGTGCAATCTTTGACATAGAAGTTAAAAANTAAAAAAATATTTTCAACTTCCTTCATAATTTATTCAAAACCTGCTTATTAATAATATAAAGAATGCAACTGCATTTGAAAAATTGATCCTTACAGTCTATGTTATTTAAATTTCCATCTAATCTAATTTCATTAAATATTACTTTTTGAAAAAACCCTCTTTAAGTTTTTAATAGTAATACAAAATTACAGATACAAGTTTCTTCAACTTTATAAATATTAAAAACTTAATCATATAAAGCATGCAGATCTATTTGACAAACTTATGCTACACAATAAATTACATAAGATTAAATGTGAATCAATAAGTTTTAATAAAAACATTTTTTTTAATAAAACCCACTTAGCGTCCCAAGTGGGTTTTTTCAAGGTGGGCCCACTTGTCAATAGAAAGTGCAAAGTAATTGGAAAAAAACAAATTTTTATTCCGCGAATACTGACAAATATACAGTTTAAAAATAAAATAATACAAAGAAATTAATTCTGTCAGCATATTGTTTAGGTATGAGTAAGTTTACTTTTTATAACGCAATTTTTTCCTTTGTAAAAAAATATTCAAAATCACTGAATTCAGTGCCAACTCTAGAATAATTGCTGGTATAATCTTATCGGAACTATAGAAAGAGCAAAGTAATTGTAAAAAAAAACAAACTATATTTGAATTCGGCGAATACTAATAAATATACAGTTACGTACGAAAAAGATTAAATGCAATTCATAAAATTTGTTTATCATTCAAAGTAATGACAAAATATAAAACAAAACTACTTTTATGTACTTGCAAAATTTACTTCAGATTGGCAAATTTGGCGTAGAAAATCATACTTTTAATTCACGGTTAAAAACATAACACATTTATAACATAAACTTCTTTAATGGTTAGAAACAGATTTATACTTCTTATAAAATAACTTTAAAATCAATACTCAATTAAAAACTCACCTGAATTAATATATAACAAATTAGATTCGCTGCTTTTTCACATAAACTTTGCCGCCATATTGTTTTGACTTGTGCTATCCCATAATCCCATGCGATTGCTGCTACCTGATTGGTTGAATTGTGAAGTTGAATCAACTTTTTCGAGGAGATCTGAAAGAGTTGAACAATAGTTGATCCAACTCGGATAAGTATAGCACACCTATGTTTTCGGACGAAGTTGGACGAAAAGTTGAAGTTGAGGTTGAGTTGAAGATTGAGTTGGACGAATTTCTTTAAGTGTGATATGGCCTTAAGTAACAGAGCCTGTATTCTTGAACAAAGATTCCTTCACTAAGGTTTCAATTATTTAACTTCATATTTCTAACTTAACACAATGACTGACAGGAAGTCACGTGGAGCATAAACAAACTAATTATGCATCGAAGTTGCCAGGTACACAAAACAAAAATATATTACGGTTTCAATAAAAAACATAAACAAATAATCAATCTAAGTTATCTAAGAGAAAGAATTACATTTCAACTTATTCGAAATGCGATATGCTGCTGTAACTTCACTTTAACTAACATTTTAACTTCTGTGGAGAAGTTTAACTTAACTTCAACACGCCATTTTCTTTACAATTGAACAGCTGTCACTGGCGTCATTAGTCACATGTGTGGGTATATGTGTCATCTTCTTCTTGAAGTGCAAGTACCCAAATTAAGAAAGTTTTTCGGAGTGATGTAAAAAATTGTCAGACGTTATTGGCATCATTGATGCTTAATTAACTGTGGTAATAGGTACTACTGGTGCTGTTGAAACAGATAATGAACACAAGAGGAACCTAATATATTTATATCGGGTCTGTAATTATAGGTATTTATGGTCCCCGAGATGAATAACTACCATTTTGCCTAACATTTTAAATTTTACTTTCCGAGAATCATCAGTGATACATTATGAAAGTCAAGCCTCTCAAAGTTAGGTCATCACCCTTAAGGTCTGGTTTCTTAGGACAAGCGCCTTATCTGGGCGTCAGCGGAAAGTTGACGTAGAGCTGACGACATAAAAATACTTTTTTGTTATCTCAGCGTGAGCAGTCGGTCCTACGCAGACATTATCTCTCATTGCGCATGCGTTAATAACGTAAACAAATATTTATTTTGAATTTGTATTGATTTTGTTATTGTCGACCAGTGTTTTAGAGAACAAATAATGACTTTGTCCAAGAAAAAACACATTATAGCTGAGCTAAATGAAGAGTGCTATGTTTAATGTCAAAATCAAAATCTTGACTGATTTCAATGTGCTGTTGGATGTTGTCCGCCATTGCTTCTGTGGTTAACGTCACGTTGTAATCCAACTGCAGTTGAGTTGGACGGCAATTGTAGTTCAAGCTGAGCGTTCGATGACGTATACTATCAAACTTACAAATAGACCAATCAGAGGTTAGCGCTGATTTCCAGCTGACGGCGTCCTGTCCTAAGAAACCAGGCCTTTAGGTAAAGTACGCCAGTTCTTAAACTTGCACTAGTATCAAGCGCAAATTGAAAAATTCAAAAATGAATCTCGTTACTGTGATTTTATAGGTACTACTTTAAAAAGAAAGTACTTGTTTGGCTATATGAATCTATTATGGAGGATAAAAAGAAATAGTTATTTCTATAAATTATTACGAAAATATTATCCTGGATTTCTTTTGTAATCATCTGTAACCAACGACGAATTCTTAACAGAAATTTCCCCGAGTCTACTATTATGCAAAATTGTACAAAAATACTTTTAGTTTGTCTAAAGTAAGAACTCCCCTAGCCATTCGTCTGGAGCCGTGGCGGTGGCTATGGTAACGAAGTATAACTATTTCAAGTAGGGGTGTGGAGTCACTGTTTAGGACAGATTTTGACTCGGGTCGGTAAGAGGAAGGGAATATTTTTCATCGGTCTAGCCCTAGAGTGAAGAGAAGCTACCCTCCCTGAAATGAGCTATTCTTGTTTCCATAGCAACAGACGGCCTCAGACTTTGTGGCAGGGGGATTTCTTACCGTAGACAAAGTATATAAATACTTACTAACTAATTAATTCTACAAAATACTTACTAAATCGAAAACTTGATGTTATCTTATATGCATTGTTTTACTAAGATATTTTAAAACAAGATAATGTAATTATTCATTAAAATGGCGTATAATAGAAACCAGAAAAAAATCGCCAAATTGTTTTAAGCGGCAGAGATGTTTAATTAATTGTGGTTGATAAATCATCTGAACTGCAAGAAGATTTGCTAAGATAGCACACTATTATATAGCTTATTGATTAGATAGCACATAATATTTTTAAAGTGCAAAGTCACTTGAAATGTTCCATAATGAATAAAATAGAGAATTATCTGTGTTAACTCGTAAATGGTAAGATCCTAGAATAGCCCACCTCTTGGCGACTTTTTGAAATCTCGCCAAATTGGCGAGTTTTGCTGGGATTAGCGTTGCTTCTTGTTTATTAAAAAAATAACAATTTAAATCATTTTCAACCGGCACCGCAGAAAAAATATTAAAAAATGAAATAATAAAGGTAATAAATGAAATAATAACTGAAATAAATGATTTTAACAGCAAGAGATCAGAATCATAAATGGCGAAGAAACAAACCCTTTTATCTCTTTTCCAACGAAATCCAACTTTCGCGTAGACATATAACATATCAAATAACCAATTGGGTATTTTGCACTTCAAGAAGATCTCCATATCCACTCTTGAATCAATTAGAAGGTAGTTTATTTACATTAAAGTAATATTTTAACTGAATTTTAAAATTTTGCTTTGCAATTTCATGTTTTAAAAATAGTCTTTTAAATAAAAATTAATCCAAAAGTTGTAATGCTGAAATCAGCCATATCAAATTAAAAATTGCATCTAACTAGATTCGAAACTTTTGAAGCATTTACGCCAGAAATTTCAAATTTTTCATAGAATGATAAAGGAGAAAAAACATGATGAGCGATAATTCTCTTTATTTACGCTAAATTATTAGATTAATCTACAGTTTAAATTAAAAATAATTACCAGATCGCCTGAAACTTAACAAAATGCAGATGTACTTACGAGAAGAACCGGATAAACGCTTACAAATATGATTTTTGATTATTTATTTGACTTTGTTCCAGCTGTATTGTTTCTGCCCGACTTGAGGCTTATTTTAAATAGGATCTCAGTCAAATAACGTGAATCTCAATGAGACTTTAAAAACCTTAACTTCCGTGAACGTGAACGATAATACCTTCTAGAAGCAATCTTGCTCTCAAGATAATCCATTTTGGGATATTGTTACAGCTTGTCCCGTAATAGTTAAGTTATGGATCTAGTTCAGCAATATAAAAATAGTTGCCAATTTAATATTAGAACAGACCATGGATGAACTAGATTTTATTAATAAATATGAAACATCCTGAAAAACATCCAATCCATTACATAGATTAGAGAGGCTGATTATTATATTAAATTTTAGAAAAGAGTGGTTTTAAATGAAATTGTTTTGTAGATGTTTCCGTATTCTATTTGTATCTGTTGAGCATATTGGCACACTTGAAACTTGCTGAATGTACTTGAATATATACGCAGTGATTTGTTGTGACTCAAGTTAGTGTCATTGTATGAGCTTCAGTTTTAATGAAATTTTTTGTAATAAATTTTGCATTTTTCGAGAGTATTTTGCCAAGAAAAATAAAAATGCCTCAGTTTAAGTGCCTTTATATTTTATATTTATACAAGCCTTCTCGCCGTGAAGAATTACTTGGACTTTAGAACTGAGAAATAACTTAAATATTTTGAAAAGTTATTAAACTTTTTTTTAAATATCGCTAATTTGGTGATATTTTTCAACCTAAATGAAAAATGTGAAGATTTAAGGTAATATTACCACTTGATTTATGCAAATCTTAACAAGGGAACAAACGCCCTCTACGGGAGAGAAATAGAAGTTTAGATTTGGGATGTACAATTAGGTTGATCTAGTTCAAAGGTGGTAGTGTTTCAGCCTATACAGTCTATGCAAAATCTTAATTAAATTAATTAATGCACTATGGTTAAATTAGACAGTGTACATATAAATTCGACGATTGGATAATTTAGGCGATATATTATATAAATATCGAATCTCTATTAAATCAGGTATTATATTAGTATATTATAATAACTAGACCAAATTATTAGACGCGATGTGGTTTTTTAATTATTACATGTCTCGCACGAGTTAATATGCAATACTTTTATATTTAAACATGCAAGTAATGGGTTTCAATTCAGGAGATTTCTTATATACTTCCTATTTGTATTTATTTTTAATGTAATGCATTACAATATTAACCGATTGATATACGAACGTAAACAAGTGCAAACAGGTTTCAGCAACAAAACAATAAAGCTGTATAGTATCACCGGATAATTAAGATTTTACAAATAATCTTTATTAAGTAATTATAGTATTATTAAGTAATTACAGTAATTATATTTATATCCATTCAATAAGGCATAACTTATTTAATGTTTTGCCTACATTAAAATTTTTAACTAAAATGCTAATCAAAAAAAGAAGTTTCAAAATTTAAAAAATACATATATTTTTTCAATAACAATATGTATATTGAATTAATTATGAAAAATATATGCATTTGCGGCGTAACTACCACTACAAATATTAAATACCAATTCACTAGTATATAAGACATGTTAACTTGATTCTATCAGGAGGTACCTTTTGATAGATGAAGGTTGATACTGTCGATAAATAAATCCCCACACATTTATTAAAAAAAAAATCCATTAGTATTAGTACTTTTCAATTCTAAGTGAAATAATCAAAAGAATCATGTTTTTCTGATAACTATTATTATTTTCAATGTATTTAACAGTTCTTTTTAGAAAACCATAGTTTAGCTTATTTTATTCACTTTCGGCATATAACGAAAATCAATTTAGTTGCCACTCCAGTTTTGTGAATTTAATTGTTTGTGATAAACCTAATTTTAAGATTAATATTTATTAAACGATGAAATTATTTACATTTTCATGTTAAATATTTTCAAAATATTGATAAATCTTTCTTTATTTTAAACTTTATTTACAGCTGCTAATGAATTTTATTTATAAAATCGAGGTTCCGCCAAAAATAAGCTCGATCATTAGTTCTATCGTAAAAATAAAAAAAAATCGGGAGGCACTGATATTAACAAATAAATGTGCAAGTTCAAATGCGCACAAATAACCGCTCTTAACATCGGTTAATTTTCAAAAAATCGGTCATAAAAGTGCCTTTTTTTTACATTTAGTTTAAAATAAACTGACATCTAGTTTAAAATAAGCTAACTATCTACAATTACCTTAAACATATCCTGGTACTGTCATCTGGTGTGTAAAATAAGAAATAAAATTAGTTTTATTCTTATTGGATCGTTACTACTGTACACTTTAGCCCGGAAATGTCACGGGAGCGAGAAATAGAGGGCGAAACCTCACCCCGTCATTTTTATCAGAGCGAGAAGGAAGGGGTGACATACGTAGTTCCACATTATAATTTGCTATACCTTACCCCCCCCTAAGAAGTTTCTATGCAGTTAATTAACATTCCATACATTTTACTGATTTAATTGAAGTGATTATAATAGTTAATAATAGTGACTTTCAAAATGTAAAGAAAAGTTCTATTTTTGTCGAGATTGTAACCAAAATCAAATTTGGTTCGTATTTATTTCGGTGGTCGTAAAAAAACCAATGACTACTGTACCTATAATTTAAAAAGTCAGAAAAACAGCTCCATCAGAAAACAGAAACCATAAAAATTTAAAGATATGTGTGTTTGCAGGACAGCACTTCATCAGGGGACGCACTGTCTGCCAACACACAGGAGCCTTTCTGTTGTCAGTGGTGAAACTAAAAACTGACAGTGCCCCGAAGCCCCATAATGGAAAGTGAAATAAGAAAAAAACAATAAGAAAAATAGAAATGTAAATGCAAAGATAAATAAATGACAAACAATCACAAAGTAAGTCTTAATAATGACGAAAAAGTAAAAAAAAAAATAAGACATAAGAAACGCCCACAAGTAAGAAAAATAAATAAAGTTACAGTTAGAATAGCCACATCAAAATAACATATAAATTGCTTTTTCTTATTTGACTTTCCATTATGAGGCCTCGGGGCACTGTCAGTTTTTATTTTCACCACTGACAACAGAACAGCTCATGTGTGTTGGCAGGCAGTGTGTCCCCTGATGAAGTGCTGTTCTGCAATCACACATATCTTTAAATTTTTATGGTTTTTGTTTTCTGATGGAGTTGTTTTTCTGACTTTTTAAATTAAATTAAAACAAATTTGGATTTTGCTGCTTTAAGCGCTTTTTTATTTTGATTTATTGATTTAAATGCTACTTACTTACTTTGTCTTTTTCTGAATTTGTAAATTACCTTCATTCTTTGATTACTGTACCTATATTAGATAGCTATTACACACTACCACTGCTACCTATTTCTATAATGGGACACCTGCAAGTGACGTAGTGTGAGTGTCTCGATCCTGATTGGTTGTCGAAACGTGGCACTTGTTTACGTTAGCAACTGCTCTTTCCATGCTATTTCGAGTAAGCCAAGCTCGTCAAGCACCAATTATCTTGATGATACATTCTATAAATGATACATTCTATATTCTTACACAAAGGTTCCAATTCTTTTATTATCTATGCCGTACTTAACAAAAAGTCAGGCATGAAACCATGTAGAACAACAACAAACTTACTATGCATCGAAGTTGCCAGGTACACAAAACAATAATTATGATAACAAAACAATAATAACAATAACACGATCTATGATACATCACCGTATTTAATTAACTTCACGTTAATTAACGTTCTAACTTCTGTGGGGAAACTTTAGCTCAACTTTAACTCTCCATTTTGCTTATAAACCATCAGCTGCCGCTAACGTCATAGTCACATGTGTGGGTATCTGTGTTCTTTTTCTTCTTGAAGTGCAAGTACCCAATTAATTATGCATCACTGGCATCAATAACAATTTGGCGATTTTTTTAAGTCCTCCGAAAGGAATAAGTACCTCAAGTATTCAAGAAATGGTCTGAAAATCGCTATCGTTATGCCATGAACACAAAATTACTACTTGAATTTTTTTTCAAAAATTATTTAAGCTGAATTACTTTATGAAGCTTCAGGAATATATTTTCTTAATAAATCCCAAGATGCTCTAATATTATGTTGTGCAAAAGTTTTGCTGCCTGTTAATTTTCATAACTTTTAAAAAAAAAAATTCGAATAGTGTGTATTAAATAGCTTCTTATTTTTTCTCTCTCTTTTTAGCGGGGAAACGAATCATGCATTGTGAAAACATCGATTACTTTCCGAAGGAGGAGTATAGTCCAGATCCTAATGATTCAACTATGGCAATACCATGTATGTATGCTTTTAACTACTGGATTAAAAGGAAGGGAAAAATAACGTTAGCAGTAGTTAATTTTGAATTCTGTTGTTGTTTTGTTATATGCACTAAATATGTTTGTTGTTGTTGTTTCTAATAACACTTGGACAAGCCAAGCTCAACAAAGGAAGCACCTTTCGTGCGACAAAAAAAGCACCTATAGGGTGAAAGTGCTACTTAGCTCAGAGCCCTCGGATAGACGGCACCGCCGTCCAATCGTGAGACCACCTCCACAATTTAGATATATTTCTGAAGGAAAAGAAATTTTTTCCAGATCTCTGTACCCATGGCAACCGACCTCAGGCCTTTTGTTTTTATAGCCGTCATCGAATAGCCGACCCAATTTATGGGTTTACGACTGCTAATGTTCAACTCAATAGCCTTGTTATTTTGAACCCAATCCAGAAGACTAGAGAACTCCTGGATCCAGTATTGGGAAATATTTGCCTTCGTGGAGGAATTTTTGATGGAACTAAGTCGCATTTGCGTTACATGAAGAGGAAGACCCCAAGAACCTCCTACGGTTAGCCTGACGGCAATGGGACTCTAACCCATGATCTGTCTACCACGGAGGATATCTCACGTCAGCACTGTGGTCGGTGCAAGCCGGATGCGGATTCGCTTCGACCAGCCATCGCTGGAATTTGAACCCGTTTTACTTTATTGAAAGGCGTAAGCTCTATCACCTGAGCCAACGCTGCTCCAACCACACAGGCTTGGCGAGTTCGACGATCGAATCGATGCTCTAATCATCCGATAAGTCCGATGCTCTAATCACTAGGCTACCCAGTCCCCCACTAAATATTCACAGTATACTTTTCTATTTAAATAACAGTATAATAACTTTTTCTTTGAATTTTAGGAGATCAAATTATCTTAAACAATACATTTATGTGATAAACTGTCGGCGTTGCGTACATAAGATGATTGGGACAATCCTGCACTACTGGACATTAAAATTGCTACACCAGGGCGATATCATTACGTGGTGTAATGTACAAGCGATTTGATTTCCAGCATGTTAATAAACATTGGCGACACCTATAATACAAAAGCAGTGATTCAACAGAAATTTTCCTAATACTCATTTTGCATTTATAGATTAATTTCCGGTTTAAAAAACTCGTTTAAGTAAAAGAAGCACCGATCAGAACGTGTTTGACTTTGACTGCGGAGATTATTGCCAATCGGGGTTGCTGTTTCGAAGTAGTGTAGTTTTGCTATTTGTATTAAGTGCGGCCACAGAATATAGAGTCGATGTGTTCAGCACTGTCATACGGAACGTTTTGCTTTGTTTCAACTCCAATGGAATGCCAGCAAGCAGCGTTGTGTAGATATCTCGATCCTGATTGGTTGTTGACACGTTGCATTTATTTAAGTTAGCAACAGTTCTTTCCATTCTATTTCGAGTAAGCCAAGTGCGCCAAGTATCAATTCTCTTAAAAGATACATTCCATTTTCTTACACAGAGATTTTTATCACAAAGATTTCAATTCTTTCACAATGGATTTCTTACTTAATGCAAAGACAGGAATTAGAACATGAACCAATTATGCTTCGAAGCTGCCAGGTACGGAAAACAAAAACATACTGCTGTTACAATAAAATTCATCAACAAATAAGAAATCGAAGTTCAGTGAAAGTCATAGAGAAGGAATTATACTTCAATAAATTCGGTGTGTGATACGGCACTGTATATAATTAACTTCACATAATTAACATTCTAACTTATGTGGAGAAATTAACACGCCAACCTTGAAAATAACGCATTAAGAACCTTGAGAATGGAAATGCCGATCATTTCTTGTTTGCTTTCCTAGCGTTTTAATCCCTATCCGTTACAATTTAAGCACGCTTAGTTTTGTAATTATTACTAAATGTGTGGTAATGTGTCTTAGTGGTGCCATCTGTTGGATAAATAACTAATTAAAGTCAAATTAAATGGAACTAATTTCTTTTTCCTTTTTTTTTTCTTCTCAAGAAATTGAACGAAATCAGCTTTGAAAATAAACAAATTATGCAAATTATTACTTTCCCGTTTTAATGTATTTTTACAGTGTTAAATTGTTGGCACTGCGGAAGACCCAGAACTAATTTTGAAAACCAGAATTTTCTGTAATTGTTGCCATTCGAACAGAAAAATTTACAAAAGGCATGGTTTAAATACAGTTAATTTTGGTTTTATTATCCAAATTTTTTATTTTCTCTTCAGAAATGCTATGACCAAATTTTTTTTTTATTTTAAGAATTTTTTCTCCGTGTAGATACTATTTTAAAAGCATTTTCTTCTCAATTTTAATTGGCTCACTTAACTTGACAAAAGTACGAAATTGGCGCTTTAGCCGAAAAGAAACATTTCTTGATGTTTTGATAGAAAAGTTTGGTAACAGTTTATGTTAATTTTTTTGCCTTACAATTATGCCTTACAGTTTTCATCGGATAAACGAATTTTATAATTGCGTGCAAAAAATTCTTTATTTCGCTTAAAAAGTTCTCAAGCTAAGCAAAATACTCAAAAAGTAACAAGTCGATCACATATCTGACCAAAATATTGGGACACCTCATTAAAAGATTGTAGCTACCTTTATATTTCAGGGTCCAGAATCCGAATCAGTAATCAGAATCCGAATCAGAATCCGAACCAGAATCCGAGTAATTAATTAGTGCAGACGATATTTTAATATCGTTTGCACTGATTAATTAGCATGTTCAGGGTGAAGCCTTAGCATATTCAAGGTGAAACCTTTAAGATTGAGTTCTAGTACGCGCTAATTTCAGCATTAAATCACAAGTTCTGCACAGTTTTCGCTTCTTTGTTTTGCGTACCTTTACACCCTCTTTTATGATGGTCACACATAGGGGGTAGAGCATTCGCCTTCCAATGAGGTGAACCAGGTTCGAATCCCACCGATGGCTGGTCGATACGAATCCGCATCCGGCTTGCACCGACCACACTGCTGATACGAAATCCTCAGTGGTAGACGGATCATGGGAGTCCCTTTGCCGTCAGGCTAACCGTGGGAGGTTCTCGTGGTCTTCCTCTCCATGTGACGCAAATGCGGGTTAGCTCCCTCAAAAAAGTCCACCACGAAGGCAAAATTTCTCCAAATACTTGATCCAGGAGTTCCCTCGTTTTCTGGATTGGGTTAAAAATTACAAGGATACGAAGGTGAACATTAGTAGTCGTAAACCCAAATATTGGGTCGGCTGTTCAACGATGGTTATGAAATATCTGACTACTGTCACAAAGGTCCCGGGTTCAAACCCAGCTGGCGAATAAGGATCTTTCACGCTTCCTCTATATTATTGACCGCGAATATAGAGCACACCACTTTCTCATTTCTCGACAGATGGCAGCACTACGCTATTTCGCTTTGATTCGCCAGACAATGAATTATCTGAGTCTCGAACTACGTCAAGGTCTGAAGTGAAGATAACTTTTACAATAATAACGTCATATTACAGTCCAGTGGCCATATATCTAAGCGAAAACATTTACCGTCAGACTTTGATTTTTACGGTCACGATAGTTTCACGAACATAAAGTACAGTCCCTGGCCAAATTATTAGACGCATTGTAAGATTTTATGGAAAATCTTAATTATCAGGTGATGCTCTACAGCTTTATTATTTTTACGCGACTGAAACCGGTTTGCACTTGTTTATGTTCGTGTATCAATTGATTAACATTGTCATGCAATACGTTAAAAATAAATACAAGTAGGAGGTATGTAAAAAATCTCCTGAATAAAAACCCATTACATGTATGTTTAAATATATAAGTATTGCATATAAACTTGTGCAAAACATGCAATTATTAAAGCGCTACAGTGCATCTAATAATTTGGTCTAATTATTATAGTATAGGGGAGAGTGGGGTCAATTGTAACATTTTTTACTTAACTATTTTCAATTTAAAAAAAAATCCAATATCTTATTAGTATTATTTGACAGACGAGTAAAGTAGACTATCCTCTACTAGAAAAAAAATAAATACCTTATTTTAAATGTTATTATATTAGTTATTAACAATTTTTGACAGTCGTGCACTTGTTACAATTGTCCCCACTTACGGGGTCAATTGTAACAGTTCATAAATTCAACTAAAACATAGTTAATTATACATATTATCATAGTTGTGATATATTTTTTTATTGATCAAAATAGTAGTGATATTTTAGGAGTAAAAATAATAATGAGCAGAGACCTAAAGGGTTAAACTTTTAACTTTAAGGGGTTAAAAATTTTAATTTATGCTGTGAAAGGTGACAAATAAAATAATGCACATGCAACATAATATAAATGATATAGGAAACTATTGGTGGTTCTTAAAGAGTTAAGTAATGGTTTGTAAACATAAGATTATTTATTTTCAGCTGTTACAATCGTCCCTTTACTTATTGTTACAATTGTCCCCAAGACGCCATTTCAGCTTCATTTGTTAAAAACAATGCTAGTTAATTAGCAAAACTAATTTTTTTTTTATTGAAATGTTAATTAAAGTGTCCACTTACATATTCGGTTACTAATTTTTATTTGTTTAAACAAAATTACTTTGTTACAATATAATATTCTAATACCAAAAAAAGTACTTGCGTGGCGTGAAAATATCTTTTGTGATGTAACTCTTTCAAAAGTACATAAAAATGGTTGCCAGCAGGGGTGTACATGTAGATTTATTAAATACACCTTGTGCGCCACCTAGGAACCAAATCTAGAACCCGACACTCGAAATTTTTGCTCTGTTACAATCGTACCCTGTTACAATTGACCCCACTCTCCCCTACTAATATAATACCTGATATAATAAATATTCTATATTTATATAATATATCGTCTAATTTGTCCAATTGTCGAATTTATATTATATATCGTCTCATTTCACCAATTGATACACGAACGGAAACAAGTACAAACCTGTTTCAGTCTTGTAAAAACAATAAAGCTGTATAGTATCACCTGATAATTAAGATTTTACATAGAATCTTAGAGTACGTCTAATAATTGGATTTAATAAGAATTAATTTAAATGGCTCTATTTTGCATCATATTAAGAATTCGCCATATTTGCCGGAAATTATCGTTCATGGAACAGCGAAGACAATGTTAGAATATGTTAGAATGAATCAGAATATGTTAGAACAAAAAAACCCATTCTTTAGAAGACATGTTTAATTGCTTCTTACTATGAAAAACAGCAAAGAAATAAACCAAATAAACTCATTTCACTATTAAACTACATATATGTACGCAAAAACCCAATTAATAAATCAAACGTTAAATTTTTTTTCTGCACTTTACAATGAAATCACAAGTAATAAAACAAATCTTATAAAGTCATTGCTTTTGAAATTTGCAATTAAGAAACCTGAAATTAAATATTAATAAAGCAATGCTGAGATGATATAAATTTAATTAATTTTCCTTACCCTTATAATTCATGTTAATTATGTTTAATAAATGACAGTTACGGCGCATAATTTTAATATCAATCCATTATTAAAATATCTTATTCCTTTCGTCGCTGAAAAAAAAGCGTTTCACGTTTTATTCGTCCAAAATTTTAATATTTTTTCTTTTATCATTGAAATGCAATTTTTATTTTATTAACACATCAATTATGATATTCTTTAACTGCAAAAATTCTTTTACAACCGCCATAAAATATAATGAAAATAAAATTATTATTATTCTTAGGAAATGTTTTTCGGAAAAATCAGCTCGATCGAAAATAATTCATGATGTAGAATCTTCTAATAAAAATAAATTAATAATTTCAGTATTATGTTTCCATTTTTTGGAATTTGAAAGTTATGAATATCAAAATAAGCGTTTCTAATTTTCATGGTTTTATGAATTTTTTAATGTATTTGAAAAAAAAGAATGATTGATTCAAATTTTTAATCGTATTATTATCGAAAATAACTTTTTTTATAAAGATTCAGTGCAGTAAAAATAATTCGCTGAAGAGAAAGATAATTTGCAGTTTTTAAGAATAAATGCAAATCTATTTTTTGTCTTAATAAAATGTTATTAACGTTTAGAATTATCTCAATTTAGCGATGGAAAAATAAAGGTTTTTTTTTCTTTCTTGGGGCAATATTTATCTTTAAAATTACTATTTGAAAGATGAATTTAAAGTAGATTTTAAAAAAAAAAATAAACGTATATTTTAGAACGATAACCAAAGTGTTTATTTTAAACTTAATTGCTGATAAATTTCTCCTAATTATTGATGTAAGAATTTACTCAATTTGTGAAATTATTATTAAGTAATGAAATGACTACCATCAAATATTATATAGTTATCAAATATTATATAATTACGTAATATATTTATTATATATATATTGCATAATTTATTGATTTGGTTATATGACATTCAATATTGTCAATTATTATTTTAAAAAATTAATTTCGTGAAAATTTTTTCTTTACAATTCATTAGGAATTCCTTTAATGTAGTTTAATCGTACGCTGTTTAGGTGTTTTAGATTTTTATTTACTATCTTCTTAAAAATATAAATTACTTTATTAAAGGCTAAAACGCTTAACCCATTTTAGTCGTGAAAGCCATGAGAGAATTTCATTTTCTTTAAAACTTTTAACACACTTAGAGTCGGTTATTTGTATATTTAATGTTCTAAAATGAGTGAAAATTCTTAAGTAAAAGTTTTAAGTAAATGCCGTAAAAAAACAAAAAAAGAAATAGCAATATTAAAAAAAAAATTTTTTTTTCTATAACAATATGTTGAACAAATTATTAGAAATGTAAGCATTTATAAAGAATTTCATTAGTATTTCTCATATGGCTTTTCAGGTTAAAATAAACTAACCAAAAGAATAATAAAGAATGATATGCAGGGCTGATTGTGCTCCGGAAAAAATCCGGATTTTTCGCTAACTGTGATCCGGAAGTTTCCGGAGATCGAAGGTTCTGACATTTCAAAAAATCATTGATCACAAAAATTTCCGAAAATCAAATTTTCAAAGGTGGAACTTAAAAAAACAGTTTATTTTATTTGTTTGTAAGAAAGAGCCAAATACTTTATAAGCTTATATTCAAGAATAATATTCATTTTTTATCAATAAATAGTTATTATAATCATAAACTCAAGAAAGAAAGACATATTTATAAATTTCAATTACTTCTCTAGGTCATTCATAGGTATGTGCAAAATGTTAAATATATTTTAAGTAAACTAAGAAACGTTGAAAAAAAGGAAAAAACCTTGTTTAAATTTTTTTCTAATTATTCGATTTAAACTTTTTTTTTTCACTCAAGAAATTTTCCGGTATTTTGACTTGGGTTCACAATCACCACTGGAGATGTCTGTAAGTGACGTAGTGTGTTTATCTCGATCCTGATTGGTCGTCGAAACGAGGCATTTGTTTACGTAAGCCAAGTCTAGTATCAATTTTCTTAAGTGACACGTTCTATATTCCCACACAAAGATTCTTTCACTATACATTTCTTTCGTAACACAAAGACAGGCATGAAGCCACGTAGAACATAAACAAACTAATTATGCATCGAAGTTGCCAGGTACACAAAGCAAAAATCTGTCACAGTTATAATAAAATACATAAACAAACAATAAACCTAAGTTAAGTAAAAGATGTAGACGAAAAAGAATTATATTTCAACAAATTCGATGTGCGATATGGTACTGTATTTAATTAACTTAACGTTAATTAACATTCTAACTTATGTAGAGAAACTTAAGCTCAACTTTAACACACAATTTTGCTTATAATCTATCAGCTAGAGCTGACTTCATAAGTCAGATGTATGGGCTTCTGTGATCTTCTTCTTCTTGAAATGCAAGTATCCAACTATGTTTTTTAGATAACAATTATTGTTTTCAACGTTAATAACAGTTTTTTTAAACCATAGTTTAGCTTGCCTTATTCACTTTCAGCATACAACAAAAAGCATTTTTATATGCCACTCTAGACCTGTGAATTTGACTATCTGACATAAATCAAATTTTGGGGCTGATACAGATAAAAGGAGGAAAATATTTCCTATTATTTTTTTTTTCAATCAAATATTTTCAAAATAATGACACGTCTTCTTTTAGTGGCACATTGTGGGCCCCCTAATTGGCCTGAAATAATTTTCTTTGGTGTAATATGTAATATAATACCTGGTCGAGTGTGAATATTATTTGTTAATATTAAGGGAAGATATAGAACCACGTATGAATGTAGTATATTAAGCAAGAATTTCTTCATTTTAACGCCACTTAAAACACTATTATTAGTTTATCGACACCTTGCTAATGAATATTATTCATGAAGTCTGAGCTCTGCCAAGAAAAAGGTAGATCATTTAGGGTTTAACAAGCAGGAAAAAAATCAGGAATTGCTGATATAAACCATCAATTTAAAAAACGGGAGGAAAATTCATTGTTTGAATTTAACGTTTGTGCAAAACTCTAAATAATGTTTTTTTCCTCAAATCGAATCGTTTTTTGTTGTTCTTTTGTTGAATTTTTTTTTGTTCGATCTGTTGAAAAACATTGTAAAAAATTGTGACATTTCTTGATAATGAATAAACTCGTTTTCTAAACAGAAAGCAGCAAAACCAAACACATTTATATTCCGTTTTGTGTTTATTGATTTATCATATATATCATTTTTATGCGTTATCAGGAGGTGTAAGACTCATTTTTGAGTTCATCTCTTGAAGCTATTCCCTGATTCTTCTTTTAGAGACAGAATATTCTTTTCGTTTATGGTAGGAATATTCTTTGGTTATTTGTCCATACGTTCGTGCTTTCATGCTCCTAGATGGTGAAGTCAATTGCTTTCATACATTTTTTTTACTATTTTGCGTTTTTCTAATTTTTATGTAATGACGTGAACTAACGCGTTTTCTTGTTTGTTTGCCAGATGCTGTGAAACGCGCTTCAGTATTCATCTTCTCGAGCTGCCTCACCCTTCTTTTTGGGTACTTTTTGTGTGTTCTGGGTACTCTCTGCCGCAGAAGACCAGTCATCTCATTTGCTTCAGGGGTTGCCTTCATTCTCTCAGGTAAAATTTTTCATGATTTCATAACACATAACATGTCATCTCATAACACATAACATGTCACATATAGCATGTCCCACATAACATGTCATCTCATTTACTTCAGAGGTCGCCTTCATTCTCTCAGGTAAAATTTTCCATTAATTCATAGCGCATAACATGTCATCTCATAACACATAACGTGTCACACATAGCATGTCCCACATAACATGTCATCTCATTTGCTTCAGGGGTCACCTTCATTCTCTCAGGTAAAATTTTTCATGATTTCATAACGCATAACATGTCACCTCATAACACATAACATGTCACATATATCATGTCCCACATAACATGTCATCTCATTTGCTTCAGGGATCGCATTCTCTCAGGTAAAATTTTCCATTAATTCATAGCGCATAACATGTCACCTCATAACACATAACATGTCACATATATCATGTCCCACATAACATGTCATCTCATTTGCTTCAGGAGTCACCTTCATTCTCTCAGGTAAAATTTTCCATTAATTCATAGCGCATAACATGTCATCTCATAACACATAACATGTCACACATAGCATGTCCCACATAACATGTCATCTCATTTGCTTCAGGGATCGCATTCATTCTCTCAGGTAAAGTTTTCCATGATTTCGTAACACTTTTTTTTATTGCAATGGACCCTAAATATGTAGCCTAAGTTCGATTTTTCAAAACAACAGACCTTAAACCTTTTGTCACCACTGGGATATGTACTTCCCGTGAATTGCCTCGCGTCACTTTAACAACGCCGAGATCCACGTGTTGCATTGAAAAAAGCGCAGTTGGACATATTTGTTCTATACATAGATTAATTATATAAGTAGGCTGCTTTCGCAATGGTAAAATGGTATTCACTTTTAAACCAACACCTGTTTGCATAATCCCCTCATCACGTGACGGAGAAGGAGGAACGGTAAGTAGTGTTGGCCACTTATTCCTATATTTGGAGATAATAGTAGGTAGAAAAAGATGATTTATTGATGTCATAAAATGCTTTTTGAAATGATTTCGCATTTTTCTGGTAGCGGCGAAATCTAACGCAAACGTTAACTAGCCTTGATGCAAAAATTAAATTTTTAAAAATATTAAAAATTGGAATAAATATTAAATATAAATTAAATCAATTTTTTAAGTAGTCATTTTTTTGTAATCATTTTTGCGTAATCATTTTTTATGTAATCATTCTTTAAGTAATCATTTTTAAATTAATCATTCTTAATTAAAAGAAATTTCTTGGTAATCAGTTTTTATAAATAATCATTTTTTAATTAAAAATTTTTTCTTGGTAATCATTTTTTCTGAGTAGTCATTTTGTAATAATTTTTTCTAAGCAATCATATGTGCTTAAATTTTATACTTTTAGTTACAAATATATGATGTAATACCCTTTTATTACATGACAGACATCTAATATGTAATAAAGTTTGTTCCACGCAATTCAGTTCCCCATTGCCAGTGCAGCATAAAGTCGGCCATGCAGTGTTTTTGGCATTAGTCACTCATTAACTGAGTGATGGACATGTCGATGGCAAATGATTTACTCTTAATAGTATGGCCGCCGAGATCTCCCGATTTTAGACTCTGGCTGCGAAAATATTTACAAGTATTTCTAAAAACTTCAATTACTCGTTATATGTATGCCGTGTTGCATATATGCCACAACTGAATTGAACAGTGCCTTAATTTGTCTCACCAAATATTTTTCATTACATAATCTTTGAATTGATATTTAAGTAAAAATTAAAAGTATTTATAAAATTTACATTATCTCATTATATTTGTACGGGTCAGTCGTGTATATGTCAGTTTTATTACAACTGAACTAAATTAACTGAATGTCTCTGTCCATTAACTCATTATATTTGAACATGTCAGTTATATTACAACTGAACGAAATTAACTGAATGTCTCTGTCCATTTACTTTTACACGTCAGTTACATTACAACTGAACTAAATGAACTGAATGTCTCTGTCCATTAACTCATTATATTTGAACATGTCAGTTACATTACAACTGAACTAAATTAACTGAATGTCTCTGTTTTAATTTATTCTACGGAGCATTTCTTCAATATATATTAGTTCAATTGAACTCTAACTAAAAATTCAAAAATATTTAAAAAAATATCTTTGAAAATTCCAACAACTCATTATATATGTATGCCTTGTATATGCCAGTTACATTAGAACCATTAGAAAGTTAACTTAACCCTGAATACTACTATGCAATTCAAAACATCAAAAGGTTAAATAAAAAAAATAAAAAACTTCAAGTTTTATTTCTTTTGAGCCACGACGTTAACATATTTTAAGACAAAAGTTTGGATGAAAAGAATAAAAAAAAACCCACAAAGAATGAGTGATCTTAAGGCAAGAACCAAATGCCTTTTAAAATAGTGTTCTTTAGTGCCTAGAGGCAATAAAGAACGTATCTCATCCATTATGTATCAGTTTGCTGTAGGTAATATATCATGAAATAATCATAGAAATGCTACGTGAAGTTATTACTCATGCTGAATGTATAGGTGAGTGCAAGATTTGCTCGTTTCTTGATAACTTTTGTATATTTTATTTCAAAAACACATCTATGCTGTTGTTACAAATCATCCTAAAATGTTAAATCTGCATCTGAAGCGTTTCAAATACACTGTTGGAAATTTCTCGGAATAAATGTCTAAGTAACAATCTATTTAATTGTTATTTTACCATAATTAAACAAAGCAGTCAAATAACCGTAAATAAGAGGCTAATGAAACTATTAACAACTAGAAAAATCGTGTATTAACTATTTTTTTTAACCTTAAGCGGTTAAATAATTACTGCACCAACTAAGCCCACCTAATGAAGCAACTGCGTACATATTATAGCCGAGAGAGCTAATCTGTCAATCTCACGACCGACGGAACGGGGGTTCGAATCTCAGTGTTGACGCCTCCATTCCCTTTAACACACACGAGTGTTCGTCCTGCACTCTCCAATCCCCATTATCTAACGGGTAGCCTAACTCCTATGTCCAGTTAAAAAATTTTTGTACAGTTTTGAAACCATGTTAGCTGTAAATGGTTAAAAAACCGCATGTACTCATGCTTTTATAACCATACTAGTTATAAACGGTTTCGAAACCTTAAAGGTGAAAAATAGTCTTTACCGTTAACTTAACGGTTAATGGGATGGACAGACTGTTGCCGGTTATTTTACCATAATTTTAGAATGAAAATTCTAACAGTGTAGTACAACATTAAGAACTTATTTTATACGGTTAATCGGATGCCTGTTATTTTACTAGAATGAAATTTCTCACAGTGTAGTACAATATTAAGAACTTATTTTCTACGGTTAATCGGATGCCTGTTATTTTACTAGAATGAAATTTCTCACAGTGTAGTCCTTTTTAAGAACTTATTTTCTACGGTTAATCGGATGCCTGTTATTTTACTATAATTTTAGAATGAAAATTCTAACAGTGTAGTACAATATTAAGAACTTATTTTCTACGGTTAATCGGATGACCGTTATTTTACTATAATTTTCGAATGAAAATTCTAACAGTGTAGTACAATGTTAAGAACTTATTTTCTACGGTTAATCGGATGCCTGTTATTTTACTAGAATGAAATTTCTCACAGTGTAGTACAATATTAAGAACTTATTTTCTACGGTTAATCGGATGACTGTTATTTTACTATAATTTTAGAATGAAAATTCTAACAGTGTAGTGCAATATTAAGAACTTATTTTCTACGGTTAATCGGATGCCTGTTATTTTACTATAATTTTAGAATGAAAATTCTAACAGTGTAGTACAATATTAAGAACTTATTTTCTTCTATTTCCATAGGACTACTCATTCTCACAGGTATGGTGATATACATTTCAACCTTCAAGTCTGAAGTTGGAAACAAGTTGCGACCCAAGTCGTCCTTCCAGGGTCCCATGTTCCGATACCACTACGGTTACAGTTTCATCTTAGCTGTGTGTGGACTCATGATGTGCGAGTTAGCGGGAACATTCACCGTCTTTCTCTTCATCAAGTGGCACAAAGTGGACATGCTCAAAAAGCAACGGCACCACCACCACCACTTGCGCCACCACTCACTGCCGCACCACCAACACCACAAATACTCGGACCTAGACGACCACCTGCCCTGTAGGAGGCACCGTGGTCGGAGGTGTTCTAAAACATCGGACACAAATCCTACAGACAGAGGTGGAGGTGGAAGGAGGCAGTCTCACCCTATCCCTTTATCTGAATCCATGAGGGACTTAGCCTTCTACAACTTCCCTCCTGTGTCCAGGGACACTACCTGCAACACGGTGTCCACTTCGGCGGACATCAACAGAGAGTATTCTTCGAGGGAGTTTTCCTTTGAGATTCTCAGGCGGACAACCCCTGTTTGAGGATGGGCCTTTTTTAAAATTTAAGAAAGGATTATATATATATACTCTTAGATAACAAAAAAATGAACAAATTTTATTAGTGGATTATTTCCTAAGAAACTTCGACCTCCTGATGAAAGGAATCCACTTTGTTAAAACAAAACGACATTTTTTATACCTCGTTAACTAATTATAGATAGTTAATAAATCGCAATGGTATAGGTGAAAAAAGAGTTCTGAGAGCTGCCCAGGTACGCGAATATTTAATTATTTTTTTATTTATTTATTTGGTTCTTCGTAACTAACGCTCTTAATTTATCTTTTTTAAAATGCGTGTCGAAAATAATGATATTGCAAATTACTAATTAAGAGAATTTATTTATCTTTTAAAGTACTAATTTTATTAAATTCTGTTCTTTTTAAATAGTTGGGTGAATACTGTGTATGATTTATTAAATTTGAATTCTGAATTAAAAGATTTACATTCGTAATTTCATTATCTTAAATTTATATTTAGGAGCATCAAAACTACATGTTAATAAATTGAATGCATTGATTTTGAAACATCATTATCTATATTACTTAATATTATATAATATTGTATAATATTTTTCTAATAATATTAATTATAAAGTAATATACTTGCCTATAATTACTCCTTTATTAATTTTTAATATAATATTTTAAAATACTTCTAATTATTTAAAAAAAAGGAGCTTACAACGCTTTTCCAAGCGATAATTATAAGCATGTGTCATGAAATAAGTTTATTTTTACATTTTAAAATACATTAACGTTCGTCTATAAAAAGTATATAAATGCAATTTTTTTAACCGCGACATTTTTAAATGTTAAGTATAACATTCAATATCCTTTAAGAAAACATATAATTTATCTCTTAAATTATATACAAATTTGGATTTTTTTCAATTGTGTAAACGTACATTGTTTGAAAGGGTATAGTACATTTTTAAAACATGAATACCGAAATATTCTTTAAAAAAAACAGAACATACAATTTTATTACTTTTTTTTAAAACTTTAATGACGAATATATTTAACGAACAAAGAAGATAATCGAGGTTTCATTCACAAATCAAACGGATTTTTTTTAATATATTGTCAGTTGTTTTTAATTAGAAAATAATTTTGGAAAGTTACCCGTTTCGTTTTGGGAAAAAAATTTTAAATGTAATTTTAGGTAAAAATTTTTTAAGATAAGAAGAAATTTTGATAAACGAATATTGAATATAATTGGAAGAATTAATTTTAAAATACTGAAAGAAAATTAACTTCTCGTTGCAATTCAAATAAATTGTTATATAAAATACTCGCGAATTACATGTTTAGATAGAAACTTTTGAAATTATCACTTAAAAGAATTAACTTTTTTAGTTTTTATCATCTAGTTTCAGCCTTATAAAATGCCAATATTCGACTTTTTTAGTTTTTATTCTTTAGTTTCAGCATTATAAAATGCAAATATTCGAAACATATTCAACTTTTTTAGTTTTTATCTTCTAGTTTCAGCCTTATCAAATGCAAATGTTCTATAGAATCGAGCATTCTTGTTAAAGCCTTTTTGTGAAACTTGAAGATGTATTTAGGTAAAAATTGTCGTTTTTGATAATTTATAACTTCATAATTCGAATAATATATACAATATATTATAATTTATATCGATAAAATTATTTTTTATACATTATCTCTTAACCTAAAACATTATCCGTAAAAAAATTACAGCCCGTTTAAGAAATGAAAATTCGATTACTTTCTTTATAAGTAAGACAAAACACACAATGTTTCAACAAATGAAAAAATATTGCGATCAAAGTTAGAAGCAGTGATAAATAAATGTTAAATAATGGTTTAAAATTAGCGGGAAAAGTAATATTTAGTTGCTTTTTTAAGGAAAGAAACGCAGTTATCTTTGCATATACATTACAAATAGAGTTTAAAAAAAGCAATATATAAAGTCTAAATAATGATTTTTTATAAATAAAAAGAAATTGCCTCTTGATTTGTTGTAGGGTAATTCTCAGAGCTCTTCTAATTTGTTTACATAACTGAATTACGAAACATATTTTAGAGAAAGCAATGAAGAATGCATTGCAGAATTCTCTGAAATCTATAAAAATATAGAATACGAGCTTTCTTTATTTTAAATGTTTGTGATGTATTGGAAATGCATAAACATAATTGAATAAGTTTTATTGTAAAAACGGAAGTTAGATGAGTATTTATAAGTTTACTATATTATATTCAAAATAATGGATAGCTTAAGTTGACTAAAATTTTTCGTTACGTTTTATTTTACTATGCACTCTTATTATTTAATATTTTATAAAAGTGTTATAAATATGATGCTTATGTTACGGAATAGCAGCGTTTAAAGTACATTGAAATTTACAAAAATTTGAGAATTTTTTTGTGTAGAAATAATATTGAAGGTTAAAAGAGATATTAAGTAAATATATAAGTAAATATAGTAAGATATATAGTAAGAAATAAGAGATATCTAAGTAAAAATTATTAAATGTAGACTAAATTTATTGAGAATATCTAAGCAGGGCTTTAGAAGTACCAATGTTATTATCCAAATGGTTTAAAAACAAATTGTAAACTTGAATAACTTGTAAAAAACATGGCCACCTATCTTGTTGGTTAGGACATAGTAAAAAATCGTTTAAATGTTTTTTAAAAATGAAAAAAAAAAACTGGGTCTTTTCTTGCATTAAAAGCTGAAGAATAAACTAAATTGGAAAATATGCTTTATTGTAAATTGTGAAGATAAAATATCCTATTGTGGCAGCTTGTTTTGAAAAAATCAGATTACATATCTTAAGCTTTTACATACTGTAGCATTTTAAAAAATAAGAGTCCAAGAAAATTTTAATTTTGAAAAACAAGCTAAGAGTGGTGCTACTCTTTATAAGCTTTTTTTTAAAAATAAATCGAATGAAAAATTTATTTGGCAAATATTATACTTTCACGGTTTACAAAAAAGTAAGAAAAAAAAAAGAAAATATTGATTTTTTAAAAAAATAAAGAGTGTCACATTTTAAAACCTCATTTTGAAAATGTTTAATGGATTTTCTTTAAGAGTTTCTAAACTTAGTTCTCCATGTTTTATTGAAAAAAATGTTGCAAAATTTTTAAAAAAAATTTCTCAATTGCAAGAATTATAAAAATTGAAACAGTGGCCTTCATTGTTCGAAAAAATAAGCTTCCAACTTATCTTACATGGAAAACAATAAAGGGGTTAAGCCGTATTCTATATTTTTATAACAAATTTTCTCTTTGAGAATATAGATAGAGGCAATAATTTATTTTCCATTTAAAGAATATATTATATTTAGCGCAACTTGCTAGCAATATATTTACTTACATCAGCAATACTAGTATTATTTTTGTTGCCTTTGCAGTTGTTTGTTTATCCTAATATATTTTACATAGCCAATGATGTTAAAAGGATGGGCATTGCATCGTATTACAGGTTAACTCGTAATTCATTGTTTACAATATGATATATTATGTCCTCATATCTAAAATATTTATCGTATTTATTATTATTTCTGGGATTATGTTTCATTGCAATTTTCTTTTGAATATGATTACTAAATACTTTTACATGTGTTTTTTTTTTGCACTTTATTTTGAAATATTAGTATTTAAAGTATATTATCTTGTTCCATTTTAATAAATAATAAAAGATAATTGGATAAAAAAAATATAATTTTTACCATTTAAGGAATTTTTTTTTTTTTAGTTTTCGCCTATTTATAGTCAGTGCAACTACAGAAAAATTTATAATAAAGTTACAAAAAATAAATGTGATACCTATTTATCATTCCTTATTTTTTTTAAATTTTTTTAACTGACCTTAAAAAAAATTCGAGTAAAAAAGTGTGTTTCTTTACGTATTGTTCATCAGACTTCAGAGATTTATTAAATTTTTGTCTTTTATACGTTTATAATAATTATGTGAAATATTCTCATTGTTTTAGTGTTATTATTCTCCCTCAATTATTACGGGAAATATACTCAATGATTTATAGTTTTTTTCTCTACAAATAATTGCATGAAATCATTGTTATATTATTTTTATTCTCTCCTAATAATCGCTTGAAAAATACACATTGCTTCATAAAACCATATTTTCACCCAAATAATTGCGTGAAGTCATTATTGAATTATTTATTGAAGAAGTATCATTGATTTATTGTTTATATTCTCTCTTAAAAATTACATGAAATATACTAATAATTTGAGTGTTATTATTCTCCTTTAACTATTACGGGAAATATGCTCATTGTCTTATTGTTTAAAAAAGTTGCGTGTAATATTCTCATTGTTTTATGATTTTTATTCTCCTTTAATAATTGCGTGAAATGTGCTCATTGTTTTATGATTTGTATTCACCTTTAATAATTGCGTGTAATATACTCATTGTTTTATGATTTTTATTCTCCTTTAATAACTGCGTGAAATGTACTCATTGTTTCATGATTTTTATTCTCCTTTAATAACTGCGTGTAATATACTCATTGTTTTATGATTTTTATTCTCCCCCTAAGCAAATGAAGAAAAACATTCGTTTTCTTTTAACAATTCAAAATATGCATTAGTAAAATATGCATTAATAATAAGGTTGATTACTATAAAATTAAGAGTAGACCCCTAAAAATGTATATTCAGCTGCTTCAAAAATATATATATTTTAATTCATTCATTTAATTCATTATTCTTTATTCTTTTTTATTCATTGTTAATAAAATGTAATAGTTTGATGTAAGCTTTTTTTGTATTCAATGTTTCAAACCATAAAATGAAAATCAATCATATTTTTTTGATGAAAAGATTAATTTCATGTTCCGAAAAATATCCATTTATTACAATATTATTATAAGGTGCCAATATTTCTATCATTACTATCAATAATTGCATTGTATATCATTTAAAAAATATCTTGATTTCTAATTTTTTTCTTTTGAAAAAATAGGCAAAAACTTTTTTTTCTTATCTATAGGATAATTATGCCTAAATGGTTATTATAATTTTACATCAAATTTTTGTATCAAAAAACAATGAATCAATTTTGTATTAAATTTTTGCATCAAAATGATCCGATTAAAATTTCATTTTTCTCGAAAAAATTATCCAATTAAGTTTTTTCATTACACCAAAATTATTGTCCGAGTTGAGTTTTTCTATTTGTATGGTGACGACTGTGATTTTTTATTTA